TCTCTTTAAGTTGTAGTAATTTCTTAAATTTACATTTTATTGATTTCTGAATTTTATATTTAAGTAAATCAGTAAAATACAAAGTAACGAGTATAAATATGAGTATTTAAAACTTCAATGAATCTATATATAGAAAGTAGAGATAAAGACAGAGAAAATGAATAGAAGAAAAATAGTTAAATATATAGTTGTTTGATTATCTATAGTAATAGATAAAGGGAAATATTTCATGATAGTGTTTATATAGGGGTTTCATTTGTGAGTTCATGATGTTTCACATTTTAAGATTTGAGTAAATATATTGATGTTGTAACATCTTTTTTTAAAAATAAATAATAAAATAAAGTGCTTCAAAGATATTTATAATATAGGCTTAATTTATTTATTTATTTGAGATTATAATATAAATAAAGAGGTTATAATGAATAAAATAAAATAGAGATTTAAGTTATGGGTTAGAGAAGAGCCTTTGGGTTTGGATTCTTACGCCCAATCCAAAGTCTTATTAAAAACTGAGTAGACAAAGGGTTAGTCATATAACACATCAAATTTCTAAACCCTAAAATGCTCACAAAGGAAACCTTAGAGAAGAACTTCGAGGAACGCATGGAGTAGCCTTGAAATAGTGGAGGATAGTGCATGTGTCGTAGAGATCCCCACCTAAGGTAAGAGGAGAGAGATTATCTCACCTTGTGAACACATATGAGATGTATGGTGTTTGAGATTGTCATAGTTGTATGATGATGAATCTGTTGAATTGTGATTATCCATGTTGCTTATTTTGAGTATTAGGGTTGTATGCATAATTTAGGGTTTTTGTGTGATTTGTTTGATTTTGAAAATTATTTGCATATGTTTAATTTTGGAATAACTAATTTGATTATTGAATAATTTTATGTTGTCATGCAAAATAAAGAAAGAAAGGGTAAGAACAATTTGTGAATCAGCCACGTCCAAAGCATTTTTGTGACTATAGACTGATAAGGACGGTCGTGCTTAAGTGAAACACACTTATGTAGGCCTATGTAGGAGGTACCACAATTGTACTTTAGGGAAGCACTCTTGTGTTGGGTTGAATGAGTGAATCATTATTGTGTTTAAAGGGATGCACGCATATACTAGGTTTAGTGAGGAAGCACACTCGTGTTTAGAGTGAAGCAAGCCTCTACTTTTAGGGAGCATGCCCTGTTGCTCTCGTGCTCTCCTAAATAAACCTTAATTTCATTAATTTAATTTAGTAAAGAGGTTGGTAATGGAAGAGGGTCGTGCGAATGTGCGACTAATTATAATTAGTAGGGAAGCTAATTAATGATTTGTAGTAAACCTTATAATTGAAATGTATACCTATAAAAGGATAATAATTAGAAGAAGAAAAGAAAAAAAGAAACCGTGATGTATAAGTAATAAAGGGAAACTATAGAAGGTAAGGTATATACTGACCATATTTGAGAAAAGATGTGAAAAGATAAAGTGTAATTGATTAATTGAAGAATAGTAATAAAAGTAATGGTTTAACAAATAAATAAGAGTAAAGAGGAAATGAGGATGATAATTTAATGGCAATAATGATGAATAGAGATAACTAAGAATTATGAGAAATGATAAGATGAGAGACACTATTATTTAATTGAGGAGTCTTGCATGTAATATTTGAGGCGTTTAGAATATTCAAGGTGATGTTTGGTGTTGTCTTAAGGAAGTCTAGGTAGAGACTTGGTTCTTGTGGAGAAGTCCAAACAGAGAGGTCTAGCAAATTGATGATGTTGGCATTAGGCATATGCATTAATTATTATATTTGATGTTGTGTTGTGAAAGTCCATGAACTCATGCATAATTTCTTTGGAGGTGGTGTGAATCTATGCAAGATAGTCTGTATGGTATTCTACCTTGATCCTAGGGGTGTGATGGTATGGAACCTTTAACAAGTATTGAAGGTGACCATGACCGACTACAATACTCTTACTAGATCTTGATAGATCTTCTCCTAGTTGAGAATGGATTGACATGGTCACCTAGTGTGTGGTGATCAAGTCCATGTGCTCCTAAGATGCGTTGTATTTAGAGAGTCTTTGGCGATGTTGGAGATTGGTACCACAGACATGTAAAAGTAAGAGCATAAAATTGAATAATGCATGTGATTGATTAGGTGTATTACATGTATTATAGAGTATTATTTATAAGTGTTTGAGATAATTTGAATGATATGTAATGTTTGTAAATGTTATCTATATTTCTTATAAGTGTTATACATGTGTGAGATATATTCTCACTCCTTTTGTTGTTTTGTGGTTTTGTTTCGTGGTTGAGTTGAACGCTATGTAAGAATTGATCATGCATATGAGGTTAAGCACGAGAGAATCAAAGCTTAAGGCTTCGGTTTTATGTAATGGTCTTGCTCTAATTAGTGTGACATTAGGGTTAGAGGAGATTCTGTTTAATTTATGCCTTGAACTTAGAGTTATTTTATTATGTTTTATTTTCTTTAGGAATTGTAAAGGTCACTTTGTGCCTCTGTTTATGAACTTATACTATGTTTCTTTCCTTTTTATACTATAAAGTTTTTATTTAAGACACGTGAATCCTTTTATAGTATAAATAAAAATATTTTTTTTATTGAATCTTTTCTAAATGAACATATTTTCTTAATAATATCATATAATAGATTTTGGGGTAGAAGGGTGTCAGATGTTATTTATGAATGTGAAATATGCAAAATAATGATTATGTATGGATTTAAAAAGGGTCTCCTTTGGACAAAGTAGGGTAATAACCCTTCAAACCTCAAAAGGATGATAAAAATTAAGACATAATATCCCTATTAACAAGGTAGGGATATTTGTTTCCCTCCATCCTCAAAGTTAGGGTCAACCTATGATAAAGGAAGTTATGTAACATCCTCATTTTTTGTAATATAATAAAATAAATTATCTTTGCTAGAAAATTGTATTAGGGTTAATTAATTAATTAAGTTTATAATGTACATAATGTTTTATTAAGTAAATAAAATAAGAGTGTTGAGAAAAGGAAGAAGAGTTTGCTTGGACCGTGGGCCCAACCACGGTCCAACCCAAAGGCTTTGAGAAATAAAAACAAGGGTTAGGATTTTATTACACGTTCTTCTGAAACCTTGTATATGATGTGTATGACATATGTATGTTGTGACACCCTTATGCTTTATGTATACTATACATGGATGAGATATATTCTCACTCTCTATGTATTGTTGTATTTGTTTTTGAGTTAATTGCCAATTGCAAGCTTAGATCAAGTGTAGGAAGAGGAGTTTGATGGAGGCAAGGCTTAGAGCTTCTCTAGTATTGGGTTTTGCTTTGATTAGTATGACATCGAAGCAAAGAGATATAGTTATTTTGGTTATAGTTGAAGTTATTTAATCTTGAGGATTTATGTTATATTGTTGAAAGTTGTGTAAGTAGACGATTTGTGCCTTTTTTTTTTTTTTTGAAATTTTACATTTATTTGATCTTACTTTATTCAAAAGTTTATTTAGAGAGATGTGAACTATTTTTCTATAAAGTAATATTTGTGCATTTTATTATATCTTTTAATTCAATTGCATGTCATTTAAAAAATATTTATTTTATTCAGAGTAGAAGGGTGTCATAGGTTGTATGATAATACAAAGAAAATACTACTTGAATTATGAACTCAAATTTGGCGAGGAGGACAAAAAGGACAAGAGATTTAAAATAGGCTTTGTAATGTTTATGAAGTTTAATTCTTTAACATGTGTGTGTGTATTTTATGACATTCAATTCTTTAACATTTTATACATATTATAATGTTTATGAAGTTTTATTAGAGAGTCTTTTTATCGCAACCATGTTTGGTTTCCTTCCTTTAGATTATGTTGATTTTTGCTTGAGTTTTGGCATAATCCTTTTTCACATTGTATGCTTTTTTCTTTTTTCCTTAAATAATATGGTGGTATTTGGTAGATGATTGATAGACTTAGATGTGCCAACTTAATTGGGATGTCGTTGATCTATAGCCATGTCTTGTGCACCACAAACTTTATTTTAAAAAAATGAATATTGTTATTGATGATGGTAATTTTATTATGTTGATGGGATTAAACATGTGCACATATTTTTGTTTTTAAAATTTATTAGCTTATACTCTATGTAATAACTTGTCGCTTTTGTACCAATATAAAAATAAGAATCTTTACTATTTGGCTATTCAAATTTTATGATTACTTTTTTATCTTCATTTCTTATATTTTATCCATTGTGTTTATTACCTGCTTTCTCTTTCACTTTTCTTTTTTCTTTCTTGTTTTTTTTTCTCTCTCTCAAAATTCATAGATCTCAAGGGACATAATATAGATAATTTGAGATCTCAATTGATTTCACACTTTCAAAGTAATCTAAAAAATGTGATAATAAGTCATAGTGATTCATTGCTATTATTTCTTCGTAGTCTTTGTTGTTAATTATTTGTATCTTAATTCTTTTTCCCTAAATTTTAACTTGGATAAAATTTTGTGGTAAGTATTTGTTAACATGTACTTAGCTTATTTAAAGTAAAGGATCTAATTTACATGAAAAAGTTGGATATATAAACATATGATGTAAAATAAGGGGGACAAGGCATAAAATAGGAATAAATTGATAATAATTTAGACAAGATAATAAAATTATTTACAAAGCTAGTAAGAAAAATTATTTAATTTTACCTTTTGCAAAGTGTGTCCAAAAGTTGTAGATGATCTTTGAAATAACTGCAATTTTAAATTTATTCTAATGTTATATGTATAACTATGATATTTAATAAAAAGGTAAAAAAAAAGAAGTAAGAATCTACCTGATTTACAAAGATTTCTTTCATCCATTTGACCACTTTCTAAATCCGTTTGATGTTTAAACAAAAGAAGCTTTTGACCATCTTTAGTTTCAGATTCATTAATAGGAAGTACTGTAACCCAAATCAAAATTAATCAACATCAATTATCAATATAAAATGTTAAGGAGTTATGGAAAATAATATGTTCTAAGAAAAATGTAGACCTTATTTAGTGGAAAGTCTTATGGTTTAATTCATAACATAAATAATCTAAAAGAATCAAAGGATGTTTGGTCAATAGTTAGACAAGTCTAGTTACTCATTTGTGAAGCCAATATACACACATTGTAACATAAATTCATTAAAACAACATAACTACCAAAAATAATATTGTAAAATGAAGATTACGAATATAATTGCAAAATCTTTGGGATTTCCAAAATCAACAATAATCACAACCAATGAAATAATGTGTTGTTTGTGATTGAAAGAGAATGAGAAAGAGAAAATAAAAAACTTAGCCAAGGTTCACATCAATCTTACTCCACCTTTTCATTCAAGCTATCACCAACCTTAGTCTTGATGACCTAGCAAGTGACAACCTTCCAATTTTGAATTAGGAAAGCTCGAAGAAGTACCATCATAAGGAACATATGTTAATAGTAAGTAATCATCATCCTTGTAGGTTCTTGAAGAACATTGCCATCATCTATAGAAAAACAATCTTATTGGTTGTTTCCTGATTTACCGTGGGTCAATCCCTATTCTTCACCACCCATAGACTACATTTCACCATACTTTCTAATATCTTATGACAATGAGGGATATCAAAAAAAAAAATTCATAACCAAGATAACAATGTTACTCATAGCACTTAATAAAAGACAAGAACAAAAATAAAATGAAAAACAACTACCTCCCCATATGAAAACCCTTCAAATGATAATAATAGTAAACTTAGTGATCATATATTCAAGAAAGGTTAACTACTCAAACTTGTTTGCAAGTAGGACCAGGCATCAAGAACAAAAAAAAAAAAAAATAAGTAGCAATTGAAAATGTACATAGAGTTGTCACAAGAATCTTACATGCATATGTCAATCAAAATATTAAGACCTTAAAGCCATTAGTCATTTGTTCATCACCTCAAGAACAAAAACACCAATCATAGTCACCCTAGACCCATCACACCATTCATGTCGAGGTCCCTTACTATCTCATGTGGAGCTTATATGCCATTGTATTAGTCATATATATGTGGCTTATCATCATGACAATGAAGTATTGGCAGTCAACCAATTGTTGTTAGAGTGGAACATGATATTTTTATTTCTAAACTACATGAAACAAGTTCTCTTTATGGAATAATACAATGGCACTAGGGACCTTTCCAAACACCAATAAAACCCTTGCATGATGAGGCTAACCGTGGCGAAACTTGGGCTAAGCACAAGCTGAGGTTAAACATTATTTTTATGAACTAAGTGTGAGAGCTTTAGAGAGAAATCCTCACTTTTTATTCTCTCAAAGTTAAGAGAGAGAGAAAGAGAGAAAAAGTCAAAAAGAAAACCTTGCTCTTTGACCTCTTAACATTAAGCGTGGGTTTTTTTATATGCTAAATGTGAATCCCCTAAAACAATAATTATGATTTCATATGCACATGTATTGTTACTTATGTAATCATGTATTATATGATGATGTGATATACGAGAATTGTGATATATGATATGAGATGTGATAATGAATAAGCTAAAATATGATGTTTGAGGACCTAGCATGAAAGAAGTATTATCCTCCATGAGAACTAAATGTGTTGTATATGAGAAACCATGATCATTTGTATGAGTAGTGCATCATAAGCATCTTAGTCTTTGAGTGTACTTGGAGTGGGATTTCCAAGAGTCCTATGTTGGTCCTATAGGTTGGAGTACCTTTGCAAAACTTAGTAACACTAACAAACCTTTAGGGGTATCATCTTAGTTGAGAGTGTTAGTGTCAAATGTCCATCGTGTTGTGATTCATCGGTTATATGTACTCCTAGGCTACTTCTATGAGAAATAAGATTTAATTGGTACCATATGCATATAGGATTAGAATCTAGAGAAGCATTACATTTCATAAATATTTTCCTTATATGAAATTTTTGTATTTATACATTTATATTATTGAAATTGTTATATTTATGTGAGTGTATTGTCTAACCTTCATTTTCACACCAAGAGTGTGTAGTGAAACATATATCATTTTCCTTTTACTATTTTATTGTTTGTTTTTTTTTGGGTTTGAATGTCATTGGCAAGTGAAGTCTAGTTGGACGGGGATGGTGTTGTTGAAGGAGAGCTTTGGACCTTGTTTTATAGCTTTTGCTTTTAGGTTATTTTTCTCTAGTAGAACATGACATCAAGACATTGGATATTTTTTAAAACATATATTTGCATCTTATATTCTAGTTTTAGTTTACAAACTATTATACATCCTATGGAGTGGCAACGATTTTACTAATGCTTTGTACTTACGTTATTTGAGCTTTAGACTTCATACGAGTTTTGAGAATGTGGTATTATCCATCTAAGTTTTTTTTCTTCTTAAAGTTGGTGTTCCTATCTTAAGTAGAAAATTGAGAATGTGGTATTTCCATTAACAATATGCTTAAGTGGCACAAGATCTATCTAGATGTAATAGGATATGTTTATGACTTGGGAGATATGGATTTCTCATAACCCAATAAGGTGAGGTGTTGCTCATGGATAAAGATGAGCCTATAACCTACCAAGAAGACATTATTGGCCCAAAATTTGAGAAATGTCATGAAACAATGAGATCTGAAATGGAATCCATATACACAAACCATGTATGGACCTTGGTAAAGCCCCCTAAAGGAGAAAACCCATTGGGTGCAACTCGGTTTTCAAAAATAAAAATGGCATGGATGGTAGGTACATACCTTTAAGGCATGATTGGTTGCAAAAGGATTCAAGCAAGTTCATGGCGTAGACTATTAGGGAACATTTTCTCTAGATTGCTTTCCTTAATGGGAAACTTCTTAAGGATGTGTACATGAAACAATTTAAGGGTTTCATCTCTTTAAGATACATTGGAAGGGTATGCAAGTTGCATAAATATATTTATGGAATAAAGTAAGCTTCTAAAAGTTAGAATTTTTGTTTTGATAAAATTGTAAGACATATTGATGGAACCTACTTTCCAAGAATCCCTATGGAAGAGATAAGTCCAAGAATGGTGAAGGTTGATAAAGTTGCTTTGAAGAATTGTAGGACATTTACCATTATTTTGTAAGGTACCTTACCTTTAGAGGCCTACCCTACCTTAAAGGACTCTTATTGTTGTTATACATTTTTCTCACTTGTAATTTATTTTAGTAGTGATTATATTAGGATAATTTTTGTCCTTGTATTTTAGGACAAGTAGTACATACAATTTTTTCCTTGTATTATTTTTACTTAAGGTGTAGTTAGCAGTTTAGAGGAGGTAGGTGTAACTAGCTAAAGTCATGATAGGGTTATTAGGCTTGGATGATCCAACTCTTTTTATGGCCCATAGGTTTGGACGTCCGTTTGCTTATGCCAGTTTCTTGGATGTCCAAACCAAGCCAAGCTTGTCATCCAAGTTACAAATTAAGCCACATGGCTTTGATAGTGACATCTCAACAACTTGTTAAAAATAATCATTAGTTTAGCAGTTGTGATGATTAGGCTAGGGAGTTGGAGTTAACTTAATTTAACCTAGGTTATTCTTAAACTAGAATTAGCTTAACTTGCTCCATAAACTTTTAGACAATTAACTAGACTTCTAGACATTTAACTAGAGTTAGTTAGCCTAATTAAGTACAAGATAGCTAACCATGGTTACATTTAACCATGGTTAATCTAGCTTGCACCATAAGCCAACTAAATTCTATATATTATGTCTTTGTACCCATTTTGTACTAACTTTGAATATTATATTGAATTGGATGAAATTGTCTTTGAAATTCTTTCTTTTCTCTTATCCTCTCTTGAGAGTGGTAAGGAATTGAAGAAACTTATCATTTTTCAAGAGTGTCGCACCATCAAGGAGACTCTCTACATCATCTTGTTTGGTGTAAATGGCTTTTAGCATCCATGGAAGCCATTGAAGAAGCTTGAAGGATTCCAAGAAGTGAAGATTCATCCTTAGAAGCTTAAAGGGGAAGTTACATCAATCTTGTTTCTCCTAAAGTTTCCATCACATATTGGATTCATTAAAAAATAAAGAAGAACCTTGTGTCTACAACATGGTTAGTAGGAACACAAATGTTTTTATAGTGTTGTATGTAAATGACATAATACTTATATGAAATGACATTCCTACCATACAAAACATTAAGACATGGTTAGGGAACTGCTTCTTCATGAAGGACTTAGGTAAGGCAACCTATATATTAGGTATCAAGATATATAGAGATAGATCATTGAAGTTGCTTGGCCTTTGTCAAAGTATATGTGTGTGCGTATGTATGTATATATATAAATAGATAGATAGAGAGAAAGAGAGAAAGAGAGAGAAAAACAAAGTGTTGGGACGCATCAATATGAATGAATCAAAGAAAGAACTTTTTCCTATGTCATATGATATATGTTTTATCTATGGCACAATCGTCTTCTACCTAAGAGGAAAGGGATTGCATGTGTAAGCTTCAATATAAATATGTTATTGGTACTATCATGTATGCCATGTTATGTACTTGACCAAAAATGTCTTGTATTCCTTAAGCATGATAAATAGATACCAATATTATTCCAATGAAAGTATTAGATAGTTGTGACGAACATCTTTAAGTACTTGAAGAACTACAAAATTAATTTTAGTCTATGGAGGTAAGGAAGATCTAGTTGTAGAGGTAGCATTGATGTTAATTTCCAAACAAATAAAGATGATTCCAGATCATAATCTAAATCTATATTTTGCTTGAACGGTAGTGTTATAAGTTGGAAGAACTCAAAGCAAGAGAAAATAATTGATTTTTCTACAAAAACTAAGTATATCACTACCTCCAATGCAAAAAAAGGAGATAGTTAGGGTCGTGTATGCCCAAATGTCAAGAGGAATGAACCTAGTAGTTCCAACACATAAGCCAAACCCAAACC